GTCACTCCTATTCCATATATAATCAAGGATGAAAAGGCCACGAAAAATACCACTGCGCTTTGCAAATGAGAGGTCAATTGAAATGTCAAGATATCAAAAGTTAATGGATTGCATTTCCAATGATGGTTGGGACAGAAAACCATACCAAGTCAAGTCAGATGCCCTTCTGAGGAGAAGATGAGTTTTATGGCAGGAAAAGACAATAAACACCAGAAGTCCTTCTGGTTAACAAACTTGTGGCTGATGGAAAGCAAACATTTGAAAATACAAAAAGCAGCGGGATTTTAACACAAGCTATAATCCCGAAACACGTATCTGGAAGTCATTAAATCTACAGCAAATTTAAGTACATGCAGGTGTTTGGGGAAAATGCCATTGCTTTCTCTTGAAGATTTTTAAAGGAACTATAAAAGAAGAGAATGTAAAGGACACTCAAGGAAGGCAATGTTCTCTTCCCCAAAGCAAGAAGTCAATTCCAATATTCTCACAGTTCTACAGCAGTTCACGAACTACATGGATTGCTCTTAAAAGCAGTCATTTTCCATTTCAAAAATCTAATTTCTCTATTACAAAACTGTTGTATTTCATACTGTTTGATAACATCAGGTTTTAGCCAAACCCTTCTTTCACCTGCCCACACATTGAAAAGTAACCCCTTTAGCCATTTTCATAAAGGACTGTAACCTGAGTCATTTGTTTGGAGTGACATTATATCCAGTCCTTAGTCAGAAGGGCACTGCAATGCAAAGAACTCATCTCTTTACCACGGAAAACAGTGAAAAGGAACTAGTTATCTTCCTAACCGCTGCCTCTGCCCGACTTGCCTTCTGTCCATATTAGTTCACTGGTGGGCTCACACACTTAAAGGGAAACCGACATTATTAGCAGCTTTTGAGTAGGAAAACACAACAGAGATATGTAATATGAGGAATGAAGAACATTTACTCTTTTGTGTAAAAACAACTACTTGCATGAATACCAGTGAATGTATGAGGAAAAGGGTTTAAAACAAAAGACAGCATTATTTCACACACTATGGTGCTCAGTGCCACAGGATGTTGTGGGGAGAAGAAATATAAAAGGTTGGGCTAGATGATCCTGGAGGTCCCTTCCAACCTGGTAATGTGTGATTCTATAAACAGATTTCAAGAGAGATTTTACATGGAGGATATGTCCATTGGTACCTCTTAAACACAGGACAGGCAGTTAGGGAAGTGTAAAAAGCTGTGTGCAGGAAGGTGGGAGGATACTCCCTGTGGAGGATGCCTCTGGAACTCCTGTTCTTCTTCCCCCACCTTCTGTCACTGGCAAAGCACTGGGTTGGTTGACCTTCAGTCTGCGTAATGTCCAGGCTGCGCATCTGTACTTGAGAGTGAGGCCTAATCCTGACCGTGCCTGGATCTGAGGGGATCCTGTAGCTCAGTCCATTAATAAAAGACAACTGATGTGGTCCAAGTCAACATGAACATGATTCCTTTAGGCTCTATGCTGATGTGGGCTCCCATTGCCTACCCAAGGCTGGAAAAAAATCTGGGAGGAGTGATAATCAGTTGGGTTTCAGAACCAAGCTACTATTGAATTTTAATGATATCAGTGTTCTCACTCTCTTCCATCAAATCACAGGGTATGCAGCAGATTATTTCCCCTGGATGTGTCCTAATGCAAAACCACTTCTCATGCAACAGCTCTTTAGAAATCTTAAATGCTCCATAGGGTAAACTTGTTCAAGCCATGTTACCTCTTTCAGACTCAGGAATAGGAATAGCCCATGGCAGGGGGTTGGAACTAGATGATCTTCCCTTCCAACCCTGACAATTCTATGATTCCATATGATAAGGACCAGTAAGTAAGTAAGAAGAGATCTAGGACTTTACATCCAGGCAATTCCCTTTCCACTATAGACTCTCAATGTAAATATGGACAAAATCAATGGGAGAAAGCAAATGCTACTTATATGACAAGGGCAGGAGAGAATAAATAAGTGGAATGTAATGGATTCTGCAGTTATGGGGGTCACCTTAGCATCACATACAGAGTAAACATACTCATAATTTCAGAAAAGTAACCACACTATTTCCATCCCCCCCAAAATTAAAAATCAGTTCTGCAAACACAGAGACTTCTTAGCTATTTTTATGGGCTTATTTATAGCAATATTACATCAGATGATGTTACCAACACTTAAAGATGAGTTCCTGCGGAAGTGCTGTGTCTTGTAGGGGTACAAGCAGCGTGGAATTGAGACTAAGCCTTGTGAAGGGGCCAAATGCCACCTGCACCCACCTTGGCTATCAGAAAGTTCACATGAGCTAGTCTAAGCACCCATACACACTTGGACATTAAGAAACCAGCTGCTTGGCTGCCTTGCTGAGCCGTAGCAAGTAAACTTCCTTGGTTTTTTTCCCTTCATGAAGTGTTAAGTGCTGGAGTGATTCAACTGAACAAAAAAGAACAGTAAACTTCCTCCCGAACATTAAACTAGCAACATTAATAAACTGAGCAATGAAAAGTAAATAGACCATTTCTACAGAACTCTTCATAATGCTCCTGAACTAATAATACCTTAAATAGTGGCACTCAGGTCCTGTCCAAGGACTCTATATAAAACATAGTCTTTAAAAGAGAATGATTTCTGATCCCAGTTTTGGGACACAAGAACTATGCCAGCACATTGTAAAAACAAGGATTTTTTTTTTTTATGCTAGTGACAACTGAGAATTATATATATATATTTATATATGTAAAAAATATATATATCGTAACAGATGTCAAATGCAGTTAGATTCAACTCAACTTATTAGTGCATGGCTTTTAGCCAAAAGCAATTCACATATGCAGAAGTGTACTATCACATATGTCTTAATAACAGAAATGTGTTTTCAAAAATGTATGTGATAAGTCACATATGGTAGAAGGAATCTGTACAGCTTTCAGCCCTTATGACAATGGAAGCTACTAACTTTATTTTGCATAGCTGAAGAACATTAAAATTTAAGTGAAATTCTCTTTGACATTTGAGAGCTACAAAAGCAGCAACTAAAAGCTGGACAAGCCTGAGCTGTACTAAGTGTGGCTCTGAAGCTTATATAATGCAATCCGTATCTACTATTGCCATCTTAAAACACAACGATCACGCTCATTGTGAGAGCTAATATTTTAACATACAGTCATAATCGTCTACAGGTACCTTAAATAGTTATTTGTCTCTGAAAAATACTAGGCAGATTTTTCATCTGTTTTGTTATGCAGTGTAATTAATATGTATTATGGATTCCCTAGGGTACTAATAGAAGCTGCCATCATGAACACAGTCAAAGAAAAGTTAAACAACCAGTTGGGAGAAACATGACAGGGTGAAATATGCACATGTAGGTGGAAGGAGCGAGACTGTCCATCTGGCCTTCCTCCATTCCAAAATGTTACACTTAATCAAGTCCCATAAACGAATGATTTAACCTAAATCACGCTTCCCCTCCCCCTCCAATCTTTCTGGTGGATTAATTGGGCATCAGTGTCACATACACTCTGTGTAATGACTGCAAGGCTCAATGTCTCTGTTATATGTGGGAAAACCCAATTCGGTTGAGTCATGCTTGAGAATTTGACTCAAAATACATATATAAAAAAAGTGAACAAATTATAAATGATTATTTTGAACTTGCTCCCCAGGACTCGCATCGCCTTGCAACTCCTGAATCCCCTAGAATGTGAGGTGAAAACAGAGCTTATTTCACACTCTCTATTAAAACAACCACCAACTAACAATGATTTTAATTCAGCTTGCACTGACTGTGAACTAGCCCTACAGGCAAGAAAGGTCCCTTGTCTTATTAGAAGTTTCACGTGCTATCAGGTCCCTGCTGGATCCTGTTTTTAATTTTTATCAGACTGAATGAAACATAAAGAGAGAGTGATTTATGACTATCTTGCATCCTGCCTAATCATTCCAAGGAGTGTTCATACACATTTTCCATTCACTTTATTTGGTGTAAACGACTATACATGATGGAAATCAAGTGAGAAGTAGAACCGTGTTCTTTTGTTACGTGTGCTAAAACACAATGATTTGTGAGTCCTGTCAGTGCACGTTCTTCAAAATACAAAACCACCCCAGACAACAAACCAACATGATCAGCAAACTACTATAAAAATAAGAACCTTCCCTCTGTCTATAACAGGAATATACAGTTACTGGGACTTGGTTAAACTGCAATGATCACCTACTGAAGCTAAAAATATATGGTTTATTGGTACATAAGAGCCCATTAAGACTGGAGTATTCATTATTTAAACAGAATCACTGATTGCTGGAAGTTTTAACTGAAAATGCCTTTTTTTCAAAGAGCCAGGACATCTATATGGTGAATTTCTTAATTCAATGATATATGGTTGAGTGTTGCCACTAGTGCCCTAAGATTTAAGAAGTTCTCATAAAATGCCCTGGAAATTGCTCCCTGGAAGCGTGCTCATCCTTCACAGAGCCCTACTGCAAAGAGCAGAAACATACGTGTCTGTACGGTGTGAGAGAGATGCACACACAGAGTGAGAAAGAGCTCTTAAATCAACAGGATGGCGAAGTCTTGATACATAGGTGCAAAATATTCCCATGTGTCTAGAAATCATTTGGCACATTCCTAGTTATTTCCCCCCTGTCAGACCTTTTCAAGGATTGCAATTAAAAATTATAATCTTTTTAGCATGTACAAACCTCCCCAAGGCTAGGAGCACTATGTATTGAGTATGATTGTGATATTATTTGGCAGCTATTCATAGACAACACATTAATTTATGGAAAGTGGTTGAAACTTGAAGAGTGCAATCATTAGGGACACACGAGAAATCGAAAGCTTTCCTCAATGACCTTTTTACCGCTACAATTCGGGGGAACTCGAATTCTATTATCCCTTTCATCGCCCTTCTTACTGTCCCAGTGTTTTCAGTGATTGCATACAAAAACTTTGTTAAACTTGCTTTTTCAAATGGATATAAAAGTAACTTACTTTACAGGAATGTTCCTCAATTTCGTCTTTTCAGCAGCCTGTAAACAGAAGAGGGGTGGGGCAAACAAACAATTAAGCAACAAGCCAAAGCACAACCAAGCTGCAAACAAACGTCAACCCATGGATGCTCTTCCAAAGGACACGGCCAGGCAGCTGGCCAAAACCCGGGCAGAGGGCTGCACGAGCTGGACCCTTTCAGAGCGATAGTGCTAAAGGTTTTAAATGCTTCTGCCCCAGTCTGTGATATCAGTGTGGTCTGCTTATTTTTAACGGCCACAAATGTTTAGGAACCACTCATTCAGGGCGATTACTTCATTTCCCACTCGGAGGTCTGGCCCCTTTGCCACCAGCGATCTGTCCATATCTGGACCAAGAACAACAACAGGAGAAAATAAAGGGAAAAACGGACTCTGCTTCCAAAACAGTTTTTATTCACCAACAACAGAAAAGGGCTAGGAACGACCAAATGTTCAGATCAATTTCCTCTTTTGAAACCTTTGAGAAAACACACTCCAAATCATCTAAATGAGTAAATCTTTGGGCCTCTCGGCCTGCACCACCTCAGACATGGAGCCTGGTTCCAGTTTATTGCTGAAACCATTGATCTGTGTACAGTCCATTTATCATTCATGAAAAGAGCCAGTGATCTTCACAGTATATTAGAAGAAACAACTCAGATCATCTGTCAACGGCCCTCTTATTTCTGTTTCCCTCTCCACGGGGATTTCATCTCCTTCGATTCTTCTTGAATTAAAATGTTGCTAAGCAACACAGCTGGGGGCACCGATGGCAGAGCTGCGCCAGTCTATCACACCGGTTAAGCTGCTCGAGATTTTAGAGGAGATTCTTTTTTTTTTTTTTTTTTAAGGCTTCTGTGGCATAATTATGTAATCTGAACCAACCTTGCATCTCCTCCTCTGTTTTTTGGTTTGGTTTTTTTTTTTTCAGAGAAGGTAAATAACATTTCAACGCAAGAGGGCTTGAAATATCACCTTCAGATAAACTGGTGTTGCATCATTTCGGAGAATTCCTCTAGCGTTTGCAGAACCAGACTGTAATAGATTTAAATGTGGAAAGCGGTCAGATGGTTAGTGAGACTACAGGCACGGATAGTAGTGAAGGGCAGAACTAAGACAACTGATCCATGAACCTATTATAGTAAGGAAAGTTTTAGTGCTTAATTACCTTCAGAGATACTTTTATAAAGCCTCCAAAATTGAAGAGAAGGGTTTTGGTGAGGAAATTCTAACCTCTGCTATGCTTAGGAATGGGAATAAAATGGTTCCCACATAGGAACTGCTAATATTAGTGGTCCTGAAAAATGTTCACATAAGCCCTTGAGGAATTAAATCCTTTATGAAAACTAACTTTTAAAACCTCTGACACCTGCACAACTGGGTTCCAAACTTTGTCAGAATGAGTTTTCCTTTGGGCTTTAGTCAGGGCTAGTTTTCTAAAATATTTGTTGTTTTGGCACTTCTGCTTCGAAGTGCCCAAAACCCCCAAATTGTATTTAAATCTATGGGAATCCCTAATAATGAGTTAAAATCAGGGATAAACAATTAGAGCTTGTGAGAGTTGAGGTGGGGCAACAGCAATCCTCTGGGTTGATTCTCAGTATGTGAAAAAAATGTGTTTGTTGCATTTGGATTATATTTTCATCTAAAGAATAAATCAATGAATGCATGGTAGGAAACGGTTACATTAATTGTACTTTCGCATTGCTAAATAAAACACTTAAACCTCAGGAAAGGCAAAACTTAAGACTGTATTGCACAAGTAAGTGCTACAGACCCTAATTATGCCCTCTCCAACAAGCCTATGATGAAATGGGATCCCTGTCTCATTAACGAGATAATGTGTGTTGTGCCTGTTTCCAACAACACTCTCCAAAGTTTCCCTTTTTCAGTTGCCACATGCAAATGCAGATTCAGAGGCATGTTATTAAGAAATCTTTCTAAGTAATAAACTACATGTAACAACACACAAACGCTTCATCTAAAATGGATTAAAATGTCATCAAAAATGGCATTTCAGTTTCCTAAGGCTTCCACAAAATGTCCAGTTTCAGTCCCATCCTGCAGGGAACTAGAAGTATATTTAAACCTCAGAAACATCCTTCTGTAATAGCAGAAGTTTTTTTGACTGTACAGTGATATTTTGCTCGACCCTTCTCTATACCAAATAGCTGGACTATACAACTTGGAGTTCAAGCTTGTGAGACTTGCATTTAAATTAGTTTTTTTTTCCTCCTGATTTCTCTAAGAAATCACTACGCAAAACCTGATATCAAAAACAGAAAACAGAAGAATGAATGTCTAGGATCACAAGTAAATAATAATGCAGTTCAACCTAATACAAAGTAAAGTAAGAGATACTCTGGAGTGCATGTGCGTAATGGTGTGAGCTAAACTGTTTATATGAAAGATTAAAGAAGATGAAGATATTTCAGGGAGTAAGAACTGGAAATGTCAAAGCCACAGAATATGAAAGAGAAGAGTCTAAACTGGACATTCGATTGTTGATCACGTTGATGGCAACTGTTTACCCCAAAAAGACATAGTAGCCTTGGGAAAAAAGAATTTTATTTTCTTGCTCCATGAACGTCCTAGCATATATCTTTCCTTTGATTTTTACATGGAGAATTTCCACATTTTTTCCCCTTTGTTACTGGCAGAAGGCACTTTCCTGACTCTTAAGAAAAGGCACATGCTGGAAGGACAGTGTCCTTCACCCATATGATCACTTGCACAAGAGTTTTAAAAAAGTATTGCAAATGCCCATGGCAGGCCAGTTTAATGTTGTGTGATCAGCAACTGGTCATTTCCTATTAGAAATGATTCAGTTTGCCCTCTGAGTGGGACCATGGTGATGTTAAGCACAGCACAAAACATATATTCTCTCTGAGAAAGAAATGCAGGATCTGGCCTTCTGCTTTTATTTATCTTGTAGGTGTTTCTCGTTCATTTTTCAATGCGTATGTGTTGCAATATCATGAGCATGCCCAGTGGCAGAAGATAAAGGAAGGCAAAATCAAAGTGACATTGAGTAATTCTACACATTAAGCTTTGATGAAGAAACATATTGTTTGAAAATATTTGGTGTGCAGCAGGTCTGTCAATTAGAGCTAATTATTTTTCTCTGATCAGGAAGAATGTAATCTTGTTTTAGGCAGGTTTCTTTGAAATGCACGTCTTTTATATAACTTCATTATAGGAAAATACTTCTTCCAAATTACTTTTTTTCTGGGCTGCTTAGCTATTGACTCAAATTGTCTGTGTTGAGTAGTTCTCTCTGCTTTGATAATTAACTTTTGATCATTACTGAATTTAGCAGCTCTAGTCAGATGTGTTCATAGCCATCCTCCTCAACTATTTCAGTGTTCATCGCCTTTAATCTTTGAACAAAATGATCTCATTGAGCCTCCATCAGCCTCGCTACTCAGTTAATAATTCCCGTTTCTCATTTTCATGACTGAGTTTGATTTGTTTTAGACTCGATGCGAGCTTTGATTATTAATTTAAGATATTTCAAAGACAAACATGTTTTAAGAGTTATTCTTTATCTTATATTCCTAAGCCTTTACAAATAAGAAACTGGTTTTAACTCCAAAACAATTTCTAAACTTTATATATTAGAAGTACTATTTAGAAACAACGCAGGTAGGAGGTCTCTAAACCGTGATGCATGTGCCCTGAGTGGGAGATGATGCTGCAAAAGACTGGAATGAAATTGGACTAGTATAATGTAATATTCAATGGGCGTTCGGAGAATTACATCATGGGACCTTTGCTAATTTTGAGCTTGAAAACACACATTAAAATAATTTAGGATGATTAGAAAATGGAAGCCAGAGTGAACTAGACAACCATTCCACTTCAATTTGTAATTTCCTTCTGATTTTTTTTTTTTACAATTATGGCCTTTCCATAATTGTGCCTCTGGTCTCTAAGACCTCATTTCAACAGCTGACTCTAGTGTTGAGTAAGAACGAAGAAGACGAAGAATACATGAAAAGCCGTAAGACACAGGGGATCACCCATCATCCCATGACTTTTCTAACTGTGAAGGACTCCTACCTCTTTTGCATTACGCTTAATTTTGGCACTAGTTGTTTTAGCATTAGTTCCAGAACCACCTGCACTGTGCCTTACTTGATTTGCAGCGTGGATATACCTGTTAGCAGGTATTTAACTATTACACAAGAGATTAAACATGAGAAAAAGTACAAACTGCTTCCAGATTGCGCAAAAGGACAGCAAAATGTTTTTCTTTATCACTATCAATTAATGGACTGGCTTTTGGACAGAAAGAACCAGAAAAAGTACTCCAGTCAGTACAACTTTCCTGTATCACAAAGACCTGAGGAAAATGAACTGACAAGAGGCTGGCTCAAAAATATTAAAGTAAAATAACTGGCATCTGCAGAAGACAAATTAGATTTTTGGTCAAGTCTTACAGGCGAAGTGTCTGTTATCCAAAGTGACTGACTATGTATAACCGAAAATTGGAGGATGGTCAGGTAAAAGTGTTTGATTTTGAGAAAGTGAGATTAGGCAAAATGTATTTTTTTAAGAATGCCTGCTCACTCTCTTGATTCAGAAGCAAGGATCAGCCACCTAAGACAGTAATTGCTGAGCCTCCAAGAGTCTCTTAGCATGAAAGAGATGGGACTTGACACCATCGAACCTGTCGGTAGAAGGAAGGCCTTCCTGCTTTAACGTTTTCCATGAGCTGCTGCAAATCTAACTTAGGTTAATCTCCCAGTTTCTAGCCAGCTCGGCACGCTTGGGTGAATAGCCAAGTGACTCCAGTTTACAACTCACCATGCTGTTCTCCTGTTCTGTAGGTAGGTACAGAAGAGAGTTCTTGGAGACCCAAGGACTCTTATTTACGCAGAATGCCTTACCTATGATCCCAGGTAATGAACCAAAACCTGTCACTTATCGACACACTGTATTATGCTCTGATTTGGTAAAGGTACATTTGGTGCTAACTATGACTTCCTGTGGAGGAGGAGAATGTAGCGTGCAGCAAA